GCCCAATCCCGTGGCAGTCGGACATCCCCCGAGTGGACCCAGACTGTGAGAGAATTCAGCACCCACCCCCCTCCATCTGAAGTGCATGAATTTCATGAACCAGGCCTCTAGTATAAAATAAATACCAAAAATATAAGTCTTTGTTTTACTATGGTTGCAAATATCAAAAAATTTCTATATGTGACACGGCACCAGAATTAAGTTAGGGTTTTTCAAAATGCTGACACGCCGAGCTCAAAAGGTTCGCCATCACTGGCCTAGGCTTTTATTATATAGGATGCTGAAAGTAGAAAATTGCTTGCACGATAGTACTTACTTCCTTTCCTCTTTTTATTTCTTTTTAAATACTTACCAGCATCTACCTTCCTTCTTTCTCTCTCTCTCTCTCTCCCTCCCTCTCTCTTTTCCTTTCTTTCAGTCCTCACCCAAGGCATGCTTAAAGACAGGAAGGAAAGAAGGGAGGAAGGGAGGAAGGGAGGAAGGGAGGAAGGGAGAAAGGGAGGAAGGGAGGAAGGGAGGGAGGGAGGAAGAGAGAGAGATTGAGAGATTGAACATTTCCTTGACTGGGTATGGAACCCGCAAACTGGTTATGGGCCCTGACTGGGAATGGAACCAGCAACTTTTCTTTTCTTTTTTTTAAAAAATATATTTTATTGATTTTTTACAGAGAGGAAGGGAGAGAGACAGAGAGCCAGAAACATTGATCATCTGCCTCCTGCACATCTCCCACTGGGGATATGCCCGCAACCCAGGCACACGCCCCCGACCGGAATCGAACCTGGGACCCCTCAGTCCGCAGGCCGATGCTCTATCCATTGAGCAAAACCGGTTTCGGGGGAACCAGCAACTTTTCAGTGCACAGGGCAAGGCTCAACCAACTGAGACACTCCAGCAACGCCCTCTTTTCATTTAATACCGTGTTCACTAGAATTTATGACAAGCACCCTTGTGAGCATCAAAAAGAAAAAATACTTCTCTTTTCAAAGCAATCACACAGCAGGATGATACATTTCCTCAAGACGTATAGTCTTAAAACAGAAGGGTGACTCAAGAGAGATCCTGAACTCTGCTCAGTGGCACCACTTCAAGAAACTGGCAAGAGTTCAGAGGGGATGGACATGTGGTAACCCTAGAGAGAGGCTTGGGGTTCATAGCCTTGGCCAGGTGTCCTGGCCATAGCTTAGTAATTGTACGCAAGGAGAAAGCTGTCAGACTTCCGGAGACCACTGTAACTCTGAACCGTTCAGATGTTAACAGCAATCTTGAGGAACTGGTGTTTCTTTCTGGTTCTCTAGTACCATATACAGCTTGGGTGGAGAGGTAAGCCCCTGAAATTGATGAAAATTTAATTTCTTGCTACCCTGACAGAATGAGAGCTTTGAGGCTCTTAGTTTATTTTTAAAAAAAAAATGAAGAAATGGCTATATTTTTAATACATGAGGTTTTTCTTTTAAATGTTTTTATTTGAAAATAATTTCAAATGAAGTTGTGAAAATTAAAATAATATAAACAATATCCACCTGTCCTTTACCCAGATTCACCTACTGTTAGCATTTCCCATTTTTATTTGCTATTTGTATAACTATATATGCATGTATATTTATATAATACATATTTATGTATATATGTGTATGTACACAGCATTTTTCTGAACCACTTGAGGATAAGAAATATCATAATCCTAAAATAGTAAGTATATTAGAACCAAGAGAGAGATTCCCTTTCATAACCAGTTAGAATGCCAGATTTAGCAAATAAAAATACGGGACACCATGGGAAAATCCCAACAGAAATGAAAGCTTCTGAACTTTCCCTGACTGGGAAAACTATTATGCTCCCTCTTCTGGACACACTCAAACATTGTCCTTGGATTTGATGAATTCTGGGTCTCCTTGGATACCTTTCAATTCCTAAGCAATAAGCCAAAGACAATGGGCAAAGTTTCTGGTAACCAATTTGTTCTGTCATGATCTTGCTGATGAAAGTGAGAGTTGGCCCTGACCAGTTTGGCTCAGTTGGTTAAGTGTCATCCTGCGCACTGAAAGGTCACCTAATATGCAAATTGACCAAACAGTGCAATGACCAGTCGCTATGACATGTGCTAACCACAAGGGGGCAGATGCTCAACGCAGAAGGAGCACCACAGGGGGAGTGCCCCTCAGCCACAAACCCTGCTCAGGGCTGGCGAGCACAGTAGCGGTGGTGGGAGCCTCTCCAGCCTCCTTGGCAGCCCTAAGGATGTCTGACTGCCAGCTTAGGCCAGCTCCCCACCTAAGTGGGACATCCCCCAAGGGCTCCTGGACTACAAGAGGGCACACGCCGGGCTAAGGGACACCCCCCGCCACCACCAAGTACATGAATTTCATGCACCAGGCCTCCACTATATATTTAAAAGTGACAACTGGTTGACTCCGGTATTGAATTAAAACTTGTATTTCTCTTGTCTTTCATACTTCCCCTATATAATTCCATCTCTTGAAAGTTGTCATTTAAGTGGTGTTTCTCAAAACTGAATTAAATTGAGTAAGAATTGTCTTATCAAACTCACTGCTTATCAAATTTCATATGCGTAAATCATTATTGGATCTTCTAAAATATAGATTCTGATTCAGCAGAATTGAGATGGAGCCTGAAATTTTATATTTAATAAGCTCCCAAAGGACACGAATACACTGGTTGTTTCACACTTTAAGTAGCAAAATTATGGTCCCTTGTCACAATCAATAGATTTATCAAATATGTAGGTATTTAGGCTCTACACAGATGTGCTGATTCAATCTCTGGGGCAGTATCCAGAAATATATATTTAAAAATAATATTTTTTATTAATTTCAGAGAGGAAGGGAGAGGGGGAGAGAGATAGAAACATCAACAGTGAGAGAGAATCACTGTTTGGCTGCCTCCTGCATGTCCCCCAGTGGGGATTGAGCCTGCAACCTGGGCATGTGCCCTTGACCAGAATCGAACCTGGGACCCTTCAGTCCACAGGCCGACACTCTATCCACTGAGCCAAACCAGCTAGAGACAGAAATATATATTGTCCCCACCTGGTGCTTGGCATCTGCAAAACTCTTATGGAGATTTGAGAACCAATGGTCTATGGATTTAAAATATCCTCTACCATTTTCTCTACTTATTTTGTTCCTCAAAGCCTAGTGCTGGTCTCACCTGCTGCTTGTTGCTTTTATTGAGCTCCTCAGGCTCCAAATTCTTTAACAGCTGTCTGCAGTAAGTTGCTGTTTATCATGGGCTATCTTTTCTTGCATAGATCCTGACCCCTAGACAGATTTTTTTTTTAATGAATAATTATGTTGTATACTTCCTTATTGCCTCAGTTCCTAGCATAACGCTTAGCATATAGAGTAAATGTCCAATGAATGCTTGTCATGGACAATAATAGTGACGACGGTGAATGATGAATCTTCATCCAGGACACCTGGTTGTTTCCCAGGCCTTATGGGATTCAAAGAACCTGCTGACTCCATTAAAGGAAACACCCAACTGCTTAGCAAAAACTGCAACTCCAAATTATAGCATCTTATGTTTCAGGAACTGGCACTGCGATTCTTTTGTACCTTGGTCGTTTGGATTTTATTATGGCAATGGCACTTTAAAGGAAAGGAAGTACTACTCTGGATGTTTTACATCTTTTATCTTATGAATCTCAAAGCGCTCTAAAGCCACTTATTAAGTTACTGTAGCCACGGTGTAAATATTATTACACCCTCGTTACCAAAAAAAGCTGAATAGGGAAA